CTTTTAGAAAAGCCATTTTCTCCTCAGAAATAAGACCACCAATCACCTTTAAAAATCTATTTAAGATCATTTTGACTATAATCTGATATAAAGTACCACACATGCCAATAGGTTGAAAACCTGAGGGAGAAGTTGGACTCAGCAACTTGGGAATGAGAATTACTAACGACTGCTTCCAATTTGAACAAAGCTATCCTGTAGAAAAAAAAAATGTTGTACCGCTCTCCAGACGTCATTCCCAGTTATATACCAATAATTTTTAAAGAAAGAGTAAGTTGTACCATCCAATCCGGGTGAAATATTTGTTCCACTATCTTTGATAATTGCCGCCAGTTCAGAAAAAGAGAAATCTTCTTCTAAGATTTTTCAATCTGCTATAGATAGAGATTTAAAAACCGGAGGCCATCCATTCAAATTACCATATATGCTCCTCCATTTATTGCTGAAGAACTTCAATAGGATGTCTTCAATTTCTGCATGGTCTTCTACCAAAATACCTTCTTCATTATTCGATTAATGAATAAAATTTCCCATTCTTCTACCATTTGCAAAAGAATGGAAAAATTTTGAATTTGTATCATTTTCCTAAATCCATTTCAACTTTGATCTCTGCCTCCACCATGTGCTTAACCGAGCTGAATTCACATTGAATTCGTTTATTTTTGCTCTTAGCAGAATCAATTTTTCTTCCTCTAAAGCATTTGCATTGGCTTCTTCTAACTGTAGACCAACAATCTCATTCTTTAAAAGAATATTGCTATCCTTGAAGTTTTTTAATTTTTCCTTGCTCCAGAAATGAACTGCTTTTAACGTCCTCTTACACTTCACATTAATGATTTCCATGACATTCCCTTTAATAGGTTTGTTCCATACTTTTAAAACAATAGCTTTAGTAGCCGGAAAAGACTCCCACACATCTTCATAACTAAGAATTTTGTTTTGGTACAACTTCTCATTTATAATTCTTAGAATTAAGGGACAATGGTCGGAAGCAATCCTTGCCAAATGTCTTACCACTGCATTTTGAGCTTCATTCAATGCTTTGGAGTTCAACAGACACCTATCCAGCCTTTCGAGTATACGAGCATTTCCACTTTTGTTGTTGTACCAAGTAAATTTTGAACCCACTATTCCCACATCATGTAGGTCATTTCTTGACATAAAAACAGACATTTCTTGTGGGCCTTGAGAAAAAGAGAACTTCTTTCCACCCCACTTCTCTTCTTGTGAAAGCACACAATTGAAATCCCCTCCCACCACCATAAGGGTATCTTTATCACTTTTATCTTCTAATACTTCTCACAAGTTTCTTCTCAAATGTGGAATTTTGTTTCCATATACGGTAGAAACAATCCACATACTTTTATTGAAAAGACTTAATTCCCCAATCACACATTGAGGTGAAGCCTCTATTACAGAAAACTTTGTAATATTAACCTTACATAATACCATAATACCTCTGGAAGCACCAACCGAGGGATATAGAAAATAATCCCAACATCACCCAATAATTTATTCACTTCATATCTCTCAAAGGAAGAGATTTTGGTTTCAACCACCCCAACAAAGAAGATCTCCCATTCTTTTAAAAAATCTTTTAAATATAGGGAGGCTTCCCTCTTATTTGCTCCCCTACAATTCCAAAAATCAAGAGAAGTTATTTGGATAAAGGTGGGGAAGGACCCCCACATTTACCTTTAATGTTTTCTTCAGATTTTTTGGATCTAGCCGAATTGCTCAAAGGTCCCAAGTGTTTAAGTTCTTTTAAAAGCTTTTGTTTTTGGGTTACAGGGACCGATTTCTCCAGAACTACACAATCAACCTCTTTCTGAATCCCATCACCTTTTCCTTCTTTCTTCACTTTATTCATAAAATGGTTTTGGACATCCTCTTTATTAGCATTTTTTTCATCCTCTACCAGCTCACCTTCTTCTCTATCAACCATGGCATTTATATTAGTATTATCAGCATTTCCATCTTCATTAACTGTTTGAAGTACTGATAACATGTTATTCTTCTCATGACCAACAGGAACTTCCACTTTCGATATTTTTTCCATTGCCCAATCAGCAGAGTTGCTTATCAAGACCTTTTGTCCCAACTGTTCCATTTCCTTTGTACCTATTTCTTTATGAACTTTGAAATCATTTTTTTGATAGGGAATACTTGAGTTCGCAAGTAATCCATTAGGACTTACTTGAGTTCGCAAGCAACCCTTCCCATTATTGACAATTGAATTAATCTGAAAGAGAACTTGACCAGAGCAACCATTACTATTGTTATCTGGCATTTTCTGTTCCATAAGAACAATGTTTTGTTTCTTTTTTCCAACTTTATCTCCTTCCATATTAAAATCCCCCTCTTGTATTTGATCAGCCACATCACATAGAATCCTTGGGATCTCCTTTCTAGAGTCTTTACCAAAGCCATCTTCCATAACAAACTGAGCTTCCTGTTCAGCTATCATAGGAACTACAGATTTTTTAACATATATGGCAGTGCTTGATTTATTCATCTTGTAGCTCTGTTTATAATTTCTCCTTCTCTTGTTATTGACCATAATCCATGGACCATAAGTAGGTTCTTCCAAAACCTCTTGAGTCCTTTCCATATCATTTCTCCTATTACTTTCATCAGCAACCTTCAAGACTTTAGGATTTTTTTCTTTTAGTACACATTCATTATCCATATGTCCAATCTTCCCACATACAAAGCAAAAGTTGGATACCTTCTCATACTCCACATTTTGAAAGAACCTTCCAGCCATGCTATCCACCCATACACCTAATGGAAGAGGTTGATCAAGCCTTATTCTTACACAAACTCTAGCAAATTCTCTTATTCCCCAATGAAACATATTACCATCCAACATAAGAGGTTTTCCAATTCTTGAAGCTATACAAGCTACATTCTTCTCATCCCAACATTGCAAAGGTAAGTGGGGCATTTTAATCTAAATTGGAGAAGGAAGTCCCTTTATAGAAGCCGTAGTAAATTCCGGCATCCACTTCTCCATACCTACTATATGTCCGTTAACGAACCAAGGACCTCCTGAATGAGCTGCTTCTACCATCTCTTCCGATGAGAATGAGCATAAGAACCATCCTCTAGCCAATATAGTAAAGTGGTATTGACCGAATTGCTTCTATTATCTCCTTAGCTCCCAAGCCACCATATGGGATGGTAAATCTTTCCTAAAAACCTTGATTACCAATGACTTTGACAATTTCTTTGAGTTCATCTCCTCCATTTCTTCATTTAAACTTACTGCCTTTCCATCTTTAGATAAAACTACTTCCTTTTCATTGAAATCCAATTTTATAAAAGGTTTGTTACTCCATGGATTCACATTGCCCAAGCTTACAGAGCTTTTAGGTAATTCATGAAAAAACTTGCCTCCATCCAAGACATTCCTCCTTTCCAGTACCGAATGAATATTGTTGTTAACCAAATTCCAAAAATTCTCATTTATCACGCTGCGACAAAGTTCAGGGATTGCATTCGAATTTTAGAACCGGTTAACAAAAATTTTCATTCCAGAGGTATACGCCGTATGATCAGAAGGAATTTCAGATGATTTCAAAGTAATAGGAGTAATTATTTCCACCATTTCAGATATAGCCTTACCTTTGCCTTCCACATGCTTGATCAACTTAGGTAATATTTCTAATACATCCTTTATCACCAATGGTCCTTGGCATTTCATCTCATGAATTTGAGATCTCTGTTTGGAATTCAAAAACAACAAGTCCTTTTCATTCACAATTATCTTCGAATTATCAGCAAATGAAGGAGACCTTTACAACCTTGATTGTCATTGGTCTTCAACTTCAGTGATCACATCCTGCATTTGTCGGCGGCAGTGCGCCGCCACTATTCCCCTCAGATCAATGTTTGATGAATTTCGACAACCTTCAGAGGTGTCGGATGGTGGAAGCCGGCGGCCCTCCACCGTCATTGATGGAGAATGGAATTTGCAGGAGACAGAATTTAAAAAGCGAAAGTTTTCTCTCTCTAGAAATTTTTTGGAGCATCTCTCTCTAGAAATTTGATGTAGCAGACTCGTAAGTTAGGAGTAGTTGTGACACCTAAAATATACTTTATCAACTTTGGCTAAAAGTCTAACAAGCTATTTCTAGGAGCCTTTTATTCTTATTGACCTTTCACAGTAGAATGATGGGTTGGAAAATAACTTATCTTATTCAAATATAAAATTTCTTACAATAACATTATCAACAATCCTTGAAGGTGCTAAGGAAGCTCAAAGACATGTTATCTAGGTTAATCCACATGTTCTCAAAGGTAACATAGGGGAAGACTTTAAATCTAAAGCTAGTGGAAGCCAAGTCGATAACATTCCAATATAATAATAGAGGAAGTGAGAAAATAAAATGGTTAATAATAGCTATGTATGCACTAGATATGGTGGTGCGAACCCCCTTATCCCTCTTGCATTGTATGACTTTTAATTTATTCCTTTGGAAATAAAGGGATAAATAAATAAAGATTTTGAATGTCTTCTTTGTTTGTGATAAGAGTGATTCTGATAACTTACTAATAATAATAATAATAATAATAATAATAATAATAATTCGTGGCTTTGATTTGGACTCATTTGGGCTCGGATTGAGTCAAATTTGATGTCGTTGGGTTCATATTTTTTAAACATTTAGTTGGACGGTAAGTTTGCTAAAATCGGAATTTGGATGATCCAAAATTTAATTTCTGAAGTTTTCAATTTGATTTTGACTTGATTTGCATCGAGATACGTGCCTAATGAAGATAATTTTTTTGATGATATATCAAGCCTTATCCTACACCAAAAAGAATAATCGGAAGAAAAAAAAACTTCTAGTAGATACAGACGGTGTTACCTGTTAGTTTCTCTAACATCCAATCCTCCCGGCGCCTTGTGAGCTGCGCTAGGGTTTGGCGATTTTTTTCTCCCGGCGCCTCCTCTCCACTTTGTGTCCCTTCGCCGCCTCCGTTGGGGGGATCCTATGGATCCCTCCGTTTACTCCACTTCCTTTCCTCCCCTACCCAACTCTTCTTCACCACTTCCTAACCCAGGTACATCGTGCCCTCTTCCTTGGGACAGAGTCTTCTCGGATCCTCCGGTAGCCAGTGAGTTCAATATTTCGGCTCTTCCAACCCCTGAAGAAATCATTGATTTCCCTACTGAAGATATAGCTGAAGCTGTTGAGGAATACAACCTTGCTTTGGTCGGCTACTCTCTCGGTAAAAGGCCATATTATGAAGCTTTGCTCAAAGCTGTTACAAATCTTTGGAAGCTCAAAGGTACTATCAAACTGATTTCACTAAGTGAAGGTTTTTTCCTCTTTGAATTCTCTTGTGCTGAGGATTATGAAATGGTATGGACAAAAGGTGCTTGGTTTATCTTTGGTAGACCATTCATTTTCAAAAAATGGTCTTCTCACTTCAGCCCTGAAAGAATTGAGTACACCAATATCCCTATTTGGTTCAAAATCCACGATTTACCGCTCTGCTGCTGGACCCCGATAGGTATTTCCAAGATCGCCACCAAAGTTGGTATCCCTCTCGCTGTCGATGCTCTCACAGCTTCTAAATCAAGACTCACATACGCTAGAGTGTGTGTCCAGATCGACTCTTCTGCTACTTATCCTGCTTTCATTCCTATTATAGTGGAAGGTAAACTCTTCAACCTAAAAATTCAGTATGAATGGCGCCCCTCTGTTTGCGATCTGTGCAAATCTTTCAACCATTTAACCGATGCTTGCCCTTCAAATCCAAATCCCAAACCTCCTCTCCCTCCTGTTAGCCCCCGAGGAAGAAGTACCAGTCGACGCCCAAGACCACCTTCCAAAAATCCCAAGGGTATCCTTCCTACTCCCAGGTCCTCTACGGAGCCTCGCCCTGAAATACCCGATAATCAAGACGCCACCACTTTGATTCATCCCAACTATCACGAAATCTCTGCCCCCACAGAACCAGAATTCAACTCCCTTAACAATGATACCACCAAACTCACGGAGAAGGCCCAGGAAGCTGACACTGATATCATTATGGATGTCTCTTGTATACAAACAGACTCGGTGATAATTCCTAACCTAAATTCTCCTACTCAACAAACCTCTTCTTCCTCTGATCTCCCCGCTCCCCTTATCAATCAAGCTCCTCTGAACACGTCTTCACCCAATAAATTTTCCTTACTGCAAAATCTCTCGGACTCTGATTCTACTTACATTATAGAGCCAGACAATGCTTCTACTGCTTCTCAATTGCAAAACGAACAGGGAAAATTCTCTCCTCCCTCTAGTTCTAAACCCAACTCCTCAAAACCTAATAATGCCTCTCATTCTCAACCCCTTAGAAACACAAGGGGGAAGGGTGCCAAGAAAGGTTCTAAGTCTAAATAGTTTCCCATGACCCATCCAAATATTGTGGTATGGAATATCAGGGGTTTCAACAACCCTGATAAAGTTTTGTGCTGTAAGAAAGTGGTTCAGGACCACGACATTGACATTCTTTGTCTACTTGAAAATCGTATCCTCCATCATAACCTACAAGACCCATGGTTTTGTTCCACTCACAAGATTTTTGACAACGAGTTGAGTTGTCACAACTTTCAAGCTGCTTCTCCGGGTCGGATATGGATTAAATGGAACGCTAATAAGGTCTCTTTCTCCCCCACCTTCATTTCTAAGCAAGTTATTGCTGGCATGGTTAGTGAGGGGAATCTGCCACCATTTCTGATTTCTGTTGTCTATGCTTCTAATGATTATGTGGAAAGAAACACTCTTTGGGAAGAGTTAAGGCTTCATTTACCAAATGGTGGACTGCCTTGGGCAGTTTTTGGGGATTTTAATTGCTGTCGTTTTCCTTCCGAAAAGTCTGGTGGCAATGTTCTGAATTCTACTAAGTTGGCTCCATTTAACTCTTTCATCTTTGATGCACATCTTGAGGATCTTCCTTCTACTGGCAATTACTTCACTTGGTATAATCAAAGGACTGACAACCCTATTCATCTCAAGTTGGACCAGGTGCTTGTCAATGAATTTTGGATCTCTGCTCATCCAACTTCTTTTTACAATGTAAGCAATAGTCTGGTCTCCGATCACACACCTCTCATTCTCCAATCGAAGGTGGAAAGATCCGCTAGTAAGAGATTCATGTTCAAAAACTTCTGGTGCAAAATCCCCGAATTTTGGGACATTTTGATTTCGATATTCGCTTCTCCTTCAAATTTGCTTCTCCTCCTAATGGGAATCCCATTATTTCACTATATAACAAGCTCTACTTATTGAAGAAGGAAATCAAACTCAAAAGATGGGTTAACTCTACTCACTTAGACTCTAAGTGTTCTGATCTCTCCTCCCAGCAAAAACAACTCCAGCATCAAGTTAATTTGGATCCTCTAAATGCCATTCTTTGTGGACAACTCAAAAAGATTAACATGGATTATGCTTTTTATAACTCATTAAGAGCTAATTGGATCATTCAACATTCAAAAGTCAAGTGGTTAACAAATGGGGAAGAAGACTTAAAAATCCTTTTTTCAAGGATTCAAAGGAGGAAATCACAAAATCTTAGCATTCTTCACTCAGTTTGCAGCAATGATGCACCTCAAGCTTCCAACATTCAAGGTATTATCAACCACTTCAAAGCTCTTTACAACTCCCCCAGACCTCCTTCTGCTGATTTGAGCAATATTCCTTATGGGAACACACTACAAGATGAGGCTACTTCTGCCCTTACTTCTCCTGTTACAAATGTTGAAATCCATAATGCTATTAAGTCTGGTTGTAACTCTTCTGCACCAGGGCCTGATGGGTTTAACTTTGCCTTCTACAAAGCCACTTGGTCCATTACTGGACCTACTGTTTGCAATGCGGTTAAGTCTTTTTTCATAAAAAATTACCTTCCGAGCAGAGCGAAGGCCACTGCTTTAGCCCTCATTCCTAAGAGAACACATGCTGATACCATTCAAGATTACAGGCCTATTTCATTGTGTAATGTTTTTCATAAAATTATTGCCAAGATACTTGCCAATAGAATGAAACCTTACATGGATGATATCATTCATAGAAGTCAGGCAGCTTTCATTTCCAATAGACTATCCAATGAAAACTGTATTCTGGCGGCTGAAATTGTTGGCTTTGTTAACAAAAGGAATAGGGGAAAATTCTTTTGTGCTAAATTGGATATTCGGAAGGCATTTGACACTGTTTCAAGGGATTTCCTATTTGCTAGAATGGCTCAAAAGGGGTTTCCTCCCACCTTCATCAACTGGATAAAAGCTTGTATTAATAATACCCATTTTTCAATATGCATTGATGGTGGCCTTCATGGTTTTTTTAAATCCTCATCTGGTTTGAGACAAGGCTGTCCATTAAGTCCGTACCTCTTTTGTATCATTATGGATGCTCTCTCTTGTCTTATTGATGACACTTCTCATATGGATTCCTTTGAAGGTTTTAAATTGGATAGTTTCTAATTGTCCCATCTTACATATGCTGATGATCTAGTGGTATTTGGGAAGGCTGACACTAAAAATTGTGAAAATCTGGGAAGAATTTTGGAGCATTTTTCTTCTGTCTCGGGCCTTCACCTCAATCTCAACAAAAGCTTTCTTCTTTTTCCTTCTAATGTTAATTCTATCACCTCTATCTCACAAGCCCTCCAAATTTCTAATTGCTCCACCAACATTTCCTACTTGGGTCTACCTATTTCCTTAGGTAGGCTCAAGATTTCTGATTTCTCCTCCTTGATCGAAAAAGTTACTAACATGCTTTCTGGTTGGAAAGCAAAGCTTCTATCTTTTGCAGGTAGGTTGCAGTACTTAAAATACACAATTTCCAATTTGGTGGCGTATTGGATTCGGGGTTCCAATATCCCAAAATCTGTCTTGAAATCAATTAACAAAGCTTGTGCCAAGTTCTTATATCAGGGAGATCCTCAGTCCAAAAAGATGCATCTCATATCTTGGAATTCCACTTCTAAGCCTATCTCTAAAGGTGGTTTGGGTATTGCTTCTCTTCAAGCTCTTAAGTTAGCTTATAACTGTAAGACTATTCTCAGACTTTACAACACTCAGTCTCCTCTTTCCAGTTGGTTAAAAACTAGATATAGTTCACCTTGGAAACCCTGCCCATCCTACAGTTCGGGTTACTGGAAAAATTTATGTAGCACTGCTGAATTGTTGAGAAGGAATTTCTGTTTTAAGGTATGTTCTAACAGTCCTATTGACTGTCTTTGGGATCATTGGGTTTTAAATGAGAATCTTTCCTCTATGCTTACTGGGCAAGCTCCTACTCTGGATTTTGGGGCTAACGGAATTTTGGCAAGCTGGATAATTGACGGTGCTTGGGCTCTACCATTCTCCCTTAGTCCTGCTATTAAAAATCTCATTAGCACAATTCCCATTACTCATAGCAGTTGTTATCACATAACCTGGGAAAATAATGAGAATGCCACCTTTAAGGACTTTTATAAGGAATACTTCTCTGATTTTGATGTGGACTGGTATAAATTAGTTTGGCACAAAAACCATTCCATTAGGTATTCCTCTTATACGTGGATAGCTTTAAAACAATGGATTGAAAACTGCTGCAGCTTTGGCTTACAGGAATATCACCATTGAGGACACGTCTTGCCCTCTATGCCATAACTATTTGGAGAATACCTCTCACATTTTGTTTGAGTGTGACTACTCATTTCAGCTTATTAAAATGCTCATTGCTCAATTCAGTAACTTCTACTTGAGACCTAATATTATTCAAGCTCTTCACTTTATTCATGGTCTCTACAATGATAAAGATGTTAGAAACGCCACTCTTCTTACTCTTCATGCTGCTGTCTATTATCTCTGGATTGAACGTAATTCAAGAAAATTTAACGACAATGCTTTGTGTGTTACCTCTTTAAAGCGTAAAGTTATACGGGCTGTCTTTTTGAAGTTAAATAAATGGAAAAAAGGAAACGAGGTAAAGCAAAAGCTGCATTTGTGTTACTAAGATATTCTATGGGTTTGAGGTTCAACTACATTCACGTGCTGTTGTTATACACGATTGCCTGCTGGATTGATATCACCGGAAATATTACATGTCAAGGGATGGATTATCTCTGGAAAGCTTTACATTACCTGCACCTTGCCTTTGGAGGAATTACTGGAGGAAAGATTATTCTTATTTCTTTTCTAACTGGAAACACGGTTAAAAGTGGTGGACTGGAGGCTGTATGTAGCCTGAGGAAGGAATCTGCTGTTAAAGATTTTGCTGTTTTCTCTTTTGAGGTGCCTGTAAATTTTGTCCCTATTATAGGTTGCCTGGGTGATTTTTTTGATAGGACAATGATGATTGCTAAGATCTTAGCAACCCCTTGGATGGTCTTATGGCAACCAGGGGTATTTGTTCTGCCCAGACCCGTTCGTGAACTGACCCTTTTCGTGATTTGGCAGAACTACCTGAGTCCTTTTGGCTCCTGAGCCATTCTTCTTTTCTTTGTTTTTCAAATTTAATTTCTGAAGTTTTCAATTTGATTTTGCATCGAGATACGTGCCTAATGAAGATAAATTTTTTGATGATATATCAACCCTTATCCTACGCCAAAAAGAAGGCCGGAAGAAAAAAAAAACTTCTAGTAGATACAGAGGGTGTTACCTGTTAGTTTCTCTAACATCCAATCCTCGTTTCTAGAAGCACATCACCGCGTCCTTTTTTCTGCAAAAGAAGACAAATAAAAAATAATTTTACGTGGACGCGAGAGAAACAGAAGCCAATTATAATAGCTCTGGTGGGCCCCACAAGCTTACAAGGAATAGTAACTGGCCCGTTCTAAGCGAGACTCGGAGAATCTTCCACCTTATCAAACATAATCTCTCTTTACCTCTACCGGTTTCGCAGTCCTGCAGTGCACAGCACCTGTTTGTTTAAATACCCCAGCGAACTCCGTCTCCTTCCACCATCTAAAAAAAAAACAGAGAAATCGGGCACAAAAAATTAGGGACTTAAAACTCGAATTTACAGTCATGGAGCTTGGAAGATGGGAGGGGATGCAGTTGGATTGCCTTGTAAACATCTTCTCTAAGCTCGGCCTAGACGATCTTACCACCGCCGTACCCCTCGTCTGCAAATCTTGGAATCAGGCATCTGTCGACCCCCTTTGCTACCGGATCCTCGATTTTCGTCACTTAGACTTTAATCCATCGAGCCCCTTCGCCTCGAGATTCGCATTCGAGTTCTCCGTTCCGCGATTCTCCTTCTCCGACTTCTTGAAGCTCGCCATGGCACGTGCCCGTGGCGCCGCCGTTGATCTCCGATTCAACTCGCTCTTCTCCGCTTCAAGCCAAGATCTATCCCTTGCATCCGATGAGTAAGTTCTGTTTCCTTAAATCGGTACTGCGTCTCGAGATGTCTAG